TTGTAACAATAAACACGCTCTTGAATAAAAATTTAAATCACCGTCCGTGTTGAGGGACGGTGCTTAAATAGACTATTTTAGGCGTCCGGAAAGATTGAAATGTCTAAAAAATTACGCCAAAATATTTAAAAACTGCCGAAAAATCGCCGCATTACGAAACTACGGTCATCACGTATGCGCACTGGGTTTGTTTAGCTGTGAAGGGTTAAAATACGCATTTCACAACCGGAAATTCAACAGACTAACTTGTAACTTCACAGATTTCGCATGTTTTAATTATTAGCAACTGTAACAAGAACAAAATTTCGAGAGTCCAGAACAAATAATAGGACTCCTAAAAAATACTATTGCTGAGAAAGTGTCTAGATATATATTAAATGGTCATGTTAAAAAATCGGCGAGGTTATATCATATTCCGCTAACTGGTTACTTGTGTAAAGATGAGCTTGACAGTGTCCTTATCAGGATTAACTTGGGTTGAAACAAAGGGGAATAAGTCAGTTAAGAGGCTTAAAGGCCCAGGTATACTATAAATACGCTCCTAAACAATAGGGATTATTTCCGTGCTTGTCACGCTGTAGTAAACAGCTCCAGCCAAGCTCGGTAAAAACGCGTTTTCTCGAACTTACAAGTCTATTATGTCGTGCCAAAGTGGATGCATGTGACTATGAATATCACAGCAGTGATTGTGTGTAGTATTATGACAATAAATAGTGTACGAGCTGAGATTTTGGCGGATAAAAGTAAAAAACATGAACCGGGGAAAGGGACGTGCGACTAATCTTGAATAATTACTACTGTCAATCAAAGTCACGTGATGTTGGACTGCTGAAACAGGATGCGCCATAGGCTATGCAAGTGATTAACAACACTCATTAGCGTAGCCACACCTCCAATTCACACTTGCCCGGGGCAAGTGAATTGGGCCTTTAAATGGCCACTTGAGAGGGGTTGTCGCTGCTTCCGTTAGTACCTCCTTGCATAGACATTCTAAGGTCTATGCTCCTTGGTACAATGTAACAACAGGATTGCGTGAATCCACTTTTATCATTGGTTGATTATGTCCGCAAAGGTCAATGTCATGACAACCAGACAACGGTTCATTTTCTGTCTGGTTCCCAGCGGTACTGAGCGACATGCCCATTCACAGGTCGCCGTACACACAAAATCCACCGAGTTTTACAGGGACCCGGGACTTAGACTAGGAGTATACAATTTTTTTTTATTTAGTTCATATATGGCATCATAATTTCATTGAAGATCTATTTTCATTAAATGTGGCGCCGACTAGAAATAAAACGGCACGTCAGCGATTTAAAAAAAATCAACGCTGAATCCACCATTT